CCCCCCCCGCTCCCCGTCACGGGTGCGATCCAACGTCAATTTGCGGTGGTACATGTAGGTTTACGCGGTTTTTCGTTTTACTATTTATTGATACTCCTCTACGTCACACACTCGCATATCATTGTTACGGTAACGATCGATTATCATCGTACGATATTATTATTATTATTATTATTATATAGATGTATAAAATTTATGTATTAAATATACGTGTATACATACATGTACGTATGTATATTACAGAAATCATCGGACGAACCTCGGTGCGAACCGTCGCGGCAGAAATCGTGATGACGCGATGATCGGAATGCCGGTCGGAAGCGATAACGGTCGATTTACGATCATGTGTCAGCGATCAAAGCGGCCGAGGCAATTTCATCGTAACGATCGCGCGTGCCGCCGCGTCGGTTCGCGCGGGCTCTTCCTCCTTTCTCTCCTTCTCGCTTTATATCTACTTATAATCTGTAAAAGGCATCTCGACCGTGGCTCGATTTGTCACGAATGCGGATAACAACAGCCACGGTATCGTCGATTAAAGCGATGATTCGTCGTCCCCGCGAGTAAGAAAAAGCACAAAGCTCGCTCTCGGATCTCTGAAGTTCTCCGAGAACGAACTCGAGAAATTAATTAATGAGCACGCGAGCGTGGGAATTTCGAGCGCGTAAAGCCGCGACTGAGACGCTTTTTCACGTTCGAGTAACGTCTCACGTCTACACTGAGGAAACTTTTATTAGGTTTGGCGTTTGCAGATATAATCGCGTGAAAAGTGAAAGAATTTTAGTATAGAACACTGTTTCTTCTGGTAAGTGTCTTACTGCGCTGTCGGCGATAATAATCTTATATGCATTTTGCTATCATCGTTTCTCGGGTTAAAACAGGATTGGGAAAGTTACTTTTGAAAAGTAACTCGTTATCGTTATTATTATTCGAGAAGTAATGAGCCGTTTTTCACTGAGTTTTGAGGACCTTTCTTTTAGAATTTGTTCGTTTCATGTATATATTGCATGTTTGCAAAGTAATGATAAAAGTAACGGTTATATTCGTTACTGAAGAAATATAACTGCGTTGTCGTAACTAATGAAAAAATATAACGTCATTACCGAATCGTTATTGAGAAAAAGTGACTTTTAACGGTAACGACGTTACAAATAACACGTTACTTCCCAATCCCGGTTTATAATCCAGAGGAAGATACAGCCGAGGCGGAAAATGACTACAATTTTGGTGGGATTTCTCTCGGTATGTTGCGTAAAAGTGCTGTGTAATAAATGAATATCGGCAAAAGTTATTTACGAAGTGAGAATCTGTCTCGTCATAGACGTGCCGCGATAACAGCCGCGATATCGTTAATCAAGACGATGATTCTCCGCCAGTAAAAAGTACCAAATGCTCGGATCTGAAGTGTTCCGAGAACGAATTCGAGAAATTAATTGCTCTGTGCGCGCGACCGTGGGAATTTCAAATGCGTAAGCGTCGACTGAGACGTTTTTAGTCATTCGAGCAACGTCCGACATACACTGAGAGAAAAACATTTCTAGTTAGGTTCCTCGCTACTTGTAATTATAATCACTTATAAATGGAAGGATTTTAGTAGTAGAGGATCGTTTTTCGTAAAGAAATCTTTTTCTCAAATCTTTTTGTGCTGTTACCGTTTCTCAGATTTCAAAGAAGCTACAGTTGAGACGGAGAACGATCATAATTTTCGCAGGATTTCTCTCGGGCGTATCGCGTAAAAAAATGCCGAGTGACGAGCGGGAATATTGTCAAAAGTTACTTGCGAAATGAGCGCGTTCCGCATCGAAAAGTTCCGCCTGAAACGCGCCTCGTTACGTGTCGCTGTCTCTCTCTCTCTCTCTCTCTCTCCAGTTGCGAAAGGCACGCGACCCGCGAAGTCAATTATCGTAATCAATCTCCATCGAAGAACAAGGACGCTCGAGCCGGGGCTCGCACGCGCAGGTGTTCCCGCGGTTTTAGCCGGGATTTACGCGACAGCTTTTCCTCCCACCCGCCGGGTTAACTTACGTTCGCTTATTACACGTCGTTCACGGCGGCGGCGTCCGCCAGACGGGCCCTTACGTGCAACATTCATGCCGCGGCAATATTCTAGTCTCGACGCGGCCTGCGCCGTAATGAGTCGGTGGTGGCGAAACTACGTGATCGGTCCTCATAGCGCGTTGCCGATATTGCCTGTGCAACAGCTGCTGCTCCTGCCGGGGCTGATATTGTTGTCGCCCCGAGTGTCGATCTGAGAACATATTCCCCCGTTATCGGGTATCGCTCGAGAAGGGATAAGGTTAAGAAGTATTGTTTGAGAATCGCGGCGAAAACACCTACTCTTTCCGTCCCGTCGTTCGACGTTTTCATGACGGAGTTCGCGCGACTCGGACGGAATTAAGGAGGTGGATGTTGATTTTTTATTCGGACCTTTTCGGCGCTGGATTCGTTTCGTCGGTGTTAAATTTCAATTCGGAGCTCGACCGGAAGGAAAGTTGTACTTTACCGATCCCTTTCGACTTCGGGGAACGTGAAATCAAGCGTTCGAGCTGAGGCGCAGAGAAAAAGCACCGGAACTGATGTACTATATTTTTTTTTCGGGGGGGATTTGAAAGCTTTGTGCAAAGTCCAAAGTGATTTAAAAAGTTCAAAGTTCGCGCTATAAGGCGGCATTGTCAAATAAATTATTACTTACCGCTGATACGTTACATTAATTAATTGCAAGGAGAAAGCTCAACAAAACTTCGGCACAATGAACAACCAAAACGTTGCTAATAACACAGCCGAACGCGTTCGCAAACGGAAACTACCACTTCAGCTCCAATTGTTGTGTACACAGTAGATGAATTTCATGTACAGTCCGACAGGATTTAGTAATATAACACGGTTATTTTATATATCGGTTTATCGTACTTAAGTCAGTTTTTGCGCTTTTTCTCTACAATTAAAATTACTGCACGAGAATCGCTGGAGGACGTTACGTCGTCGATTTTTTTCTTTATAATTTAAAAGTTGCGCGATTTTGCACCACGGAGGTCCGGAGATGTTCACTTTTTTTCCGGACCTCTTCGCAAAATTCGTTTCGTTGGCTTTAAATTTCAATTAGAAGTCGACGAAGGTAAAGATGTGCTTTTCCGTCCCTCTCGACTTCACGGAACACCTTAAATCACCGCCCGAGCTGAGAAGTATAATTAAAAGTACTGTTTGAGAATATTGCGGGAGGGGGGTACCGTCGTTAACGTTGATTTTTCATAATTTCGCAATTTTGCGCGATTTTGCACTACGGAGATCCGTGGATGTTCACTTTCTCAGGTCTCTTTAGCACTTTCCGAATTCGTTTCGCCGGCATTCAGTTTCGATTAAAAGTCGACGGGGATAAAGATGTGCTTCTCGGCCCCTTCCGACTTCGCGGAACGCCTGAAATCATCAGCCGAGTTAGGAAGTACAATTAAAAGTATCGTTCGAGGGATCGCAGAAGAAGAGAGTTGATGTTTCTTTTTCATAATTTCGAAGTCGTGCGGTCTCGCATTACGGAGACGTCCGGGGACGTTCACCGTTTGCGGGCTTCTTTGGCGCTCGCCGCATTCGCTCCGTTGGCTTTGAACTTTAATTAGAAATCGACGGAGGCAAAGGTGTGTTTTTCCGCGCCTCTCGACTTCGCGGAACGCCTGAAATCACCGCGCGATGCACCGGGGGAGACAATTAGAGGAAGATATCGCTTAAGAATCGCCGCAGGAAGGTTCGTCGCCGCGAGAGACGTTTCCTTTTTCATAATTCCGACGTTACTCGATCTCGCATAGCGAAGATGAGGGGGGATGTCCGTTCCCCGGGATCCTCGTGGCACCCTCGCCGAAGTGGTTTCTCGCCGGCGTGAAATTTCAATTAGAGCCGAAAGGGAAGAGATGTGCTTTCCCGCTCGCCCGAGTTCGTGGGGGACGCCTGAAATCCATCCATCCACGGGGCTCCGGAGGGTTAAAAAGGACGAGGAAAATCCCCGGTTTAGATATTATTCGATATATATACCGGATCTCGCATCGGAAGTTTCGAGTGTCGCTTCAGCCGGCTGTTAAAACGTCCCGTCTTGACTGACGTGAGCTTTCGAGTAAATGGGTCAGAATGTCGTCACACGTCAAGTCGCCGGAATGCTTTCGCCGGCATGCCAGGGCGCGCGTATACACACACACACACACTCGCCCCCGCGAAAAAGCGACGTCTGAATAAGAGGGTAAAAGTGGCAAGCAACAAAAACTTACCAGTGGTACCGGCCGCCGCCCCATTAATCATGTGAAGTCAATTTACGTCAGATTAGTAAGATTGATTAGCTGCATTGAAAGCCCGATGCATCAAAGGGTGCGAAGGGGGATTATAAAGTTTACCGCAGAAACGATCCGCCGCTTACTTTCGCGCTTTTGACAACGTCGTAATGGCGCCCTCCCACTCTCTCTTTCTCTCTCTTTCTCTCTCTCTCTATCTGTCTGTCTCTCTCTCTAATACCGCCAGATTATTCACGGAATAACGAAGAGAATATGTGCGCGCGCATCGCAAAGTGCGATTTTACCTGTAGCCACTTTTTATGCATTTGCACGTATAAAAAAATTGTTTATATCACGATATTACACACACAAGTGTGTGTGAAAATTGCACACTCGGATTCGGCCTGCAAGTTTTGCTTACACTCGTGTGTGTAAAACCGTGATTTTCACACACTTATATATAAATTACACTGGTAACGCGTGTAAATGACGACGTGTGAAAGGTGACCGTGTAAAATGTGCGAAATTACACACTTGGATTTCTCGTGTAATTCTTACACATTTACACGAGCAAAATTATAATTTTCACACACTTGTGCGCGTAAAATTACACCGACAACACCTGCTGAATTATGAATGCGCGGAAAGTGACTGCACGAAGTGCGTGAAAATTACGCACACTTAGAACGCACCACGAGCGCGCGTTTGCCCGAAGCCGACGGGAGAAATTGAGAGCGGCGCGCATAGATAATGCAAAATTCGACCGCGTCGTTATTGCTACTATCGCCGACACCGCACAGCAAATATCGTTCATTATCATTATCATCATTACACTCCTCCCCCTGTCCCCCCAAACATCTACAAAGAGCGATGTAATAATAAACGATACAATTACGAATTTTTCCCATTACTCGTACAAATTCATGTTGCATAACGCCGCGAGAGAGAGAAAGAAAGAGAGAGAGAGAGAGAGAGAGAGAGAGAGAGGGCGGTCGATCGTCGGAACAACAGCGCACGCCTCGTCGATGTCGAGCAGAGCCAAGATAATGAGTATAATCAGGCGAGGGCGGGCATCGATCGCGGGTCAGCCAGCGGCACGCGGCGATCCACGTGGCGGAGCGAGAGAGACGCGGCTCTCCCGTGCATCTCTCCCCTCCCTCGGTGAGTGTGTCTGTCGTCATCGCGGAAAACACTTTCAGAGTACCCCTCTCTCCCCTCTCTCTCTCTCTCTCTCGTCCGCTTGACGTCTTATTAATAAACGGTGGCGATCTCGGGGTCGCGCCCGCGAATTGACTCGCGTATGTAAATCACGCGGTGAAATAGATGGATGGATGAAGAGAGAAGAGAGATATAGAGGGGGAGGGGGACGGCTGTTCGAGACGTTTATTAATCGTGGTTCGTGTCACTCGGCCGGCAGTCCCTGCTGATTGTTGCCAGCAGCTCTCTAATTGTAGGTAAATGGGTTGCAGTAAACCGAGAACGATCGCCGGTCGCAATTTCGCGCGGCGATTTTTACGCTGGGCGCGAGCGAGACGGGAAATACGAGACTCGAGCAAGCGGGAAAACGGCGAGAGGAAGGACGGCTCATCATCGCTCTTGCCGATTACAAGCGTCGTCGAAGCGACGATTGGCCGGCGATATAATTGGCCGGGCGTCAATCATGCTCGAATCAAACGGGGCCGAGCGTATGTGCGAATCTTTTTTTCCATTAGCGACGATCAGCGAGACGGGAAGCGAGTGTAAACACACATACAGACGTATACCGATGGCGCGCGCGGCTGCAATTTTGCGCCCGGTTCCGCTTGTCTACTGTTTATTCGCTGTGTTTTGTTTTAATTACACGCGCTATCGATTTCAATGAGTTCGACGGCGTTTATGCACAATCAACATGCGCGCGCGCGCGCAATAAACTCCGATTGGGAATCGTTTTATGATAAAGACCCCGTAATTACATTAAGTCGCTGTGTGTGTATGTGCGTGTCGATGTGTCGGCCAGTCCCGGGTAGAAATTTGAAAAACGGGGACTGCAGGGGTCTACACGAGTTTGCCCTGTAAAGGCAAGCCCGCTTGGAGATTACAAATCACACATCGTCATAATGATCCTTCCGGTTACAATTCCGGTATGATCAAGCATTACAAAATCTCACGATAATTTTTACTACGATATCCCCTTCCCCCTCCCATCCCTGGAGAACACTCTCCGATTCATATCCAGACGTATTCGCGCGATTTCACGCGACGTTGTTCTCCGGCTCTCCGGCGCTGCCTCGCGAGTCCTCGCGCAACAACTCCGGGTTCTTCTCGACCTTGCTGAGCACACTCTGCAGCTGCCGAAGCTCGTCCGCCGACAGGGGTGCTCCCTGTCCCGACATGATGGATATGGCGTCGCTTAAGCTGAGAGACGCCAGCGCGATGCCGTCTTTATTGCGTCCGCGATCCAAGAGACCCTGTCGCAGCGTCTTGATGTATCTCCTCAGGGCGGAGTTCATGGCGAGACCTATTTTCGAGTCGTGCCGCGGAAGCCGCAGCTCCTCCCCCTCTCGCCCCCCGAGGCCGTCGACGCCGTTGTTCTCGCGCAGGGCCGCCGACGACGAGCGTTTCATCCTGTCATCGAGCGTCTCCTCCTCGTTCGATCGGTCATTCAATCTCGCGCCGCTTAATCCGCCGCTCTTCGTCTCGGGATTCGCATCCCTCCGCGCGCCCGCCGGCGAAGCGGCCCGCCGACCCCCGGCGAGGCCGCCCGGATCCGGTGTAATCTCGGGAACTTTCGACGACCCGACGACGCGGCCGTCGTTATTAAAGCTCGTGTTGCTCCTCCTCGTCTCCGCCTCCTCCCCTTCCGCATTTTTCACACTCGGGACCGCCGCAGCAGCGGCGTCGCTCTGCCCCGTCCCCTCCGCCTCCCGCCGGGCGACCCCACGTCGTCTCGCGAGTTCCGTCGCGGAGGCGACGGTGGCCTCGTGATCGTCGCCGACACCGTCGCCGGGTAATTCGATTTTCGAGCTGAGCGCCGCGTTCCCTTTGGCGGAATTCGCGCCGCGATTTGATCTCGCCGAGTTCGCCCGATCTTGCATGAACGGCGACTTTGAGCGGCGTCCGTTCGCGTCGCGCGCCTCCCTCGCCACCTCCTCCTGCTTCCTCCTCGAAGCCGGCGAGACCGCTCGCGCGAAACTCCACCTCGGCTTCCTCGTCTCGCCGGCAGCCTGGCGGCTCGCGCAGCCTCGCGTCGTTCCCGACGCCGCGTTGCCGCGGCATCTCGAGGCCGTCCTGCCCGCGGATGCTCCCTTCGGATGCCGCGTCTTCCTGTTATTCCCCGGCTCGACGTCCTCCTTCTCCCTCGGCTTCTCCCAGCGCGGCAACGTGATCACCTGATCTCGTCGACGCTCTTTTTCCTTCTTCCCCTCCTCGCGCGGCGTAACGAAGCTCGCCGCTCGCGGCCCCAGAGACGCCGGACGGGCCACCGGGGAGGGCTCCTTCGAGGAGGAGCGTCTTCCTTCGCTCGGGAGCTCGAATTTCCGGGACAGGCTGCCACCAAGGGCCGCTCGACCGGTCCGCGCCGAGTTCTTGGCGACGTACTTCCGATTGAACGAGCTGCGCCGGTTCCCCAACAGCCAAGGCGGCCGACTCCTGGGGCTGACGGATGACTCCCGCGAGCGGCACGATGTCTCGTCCTCCCGCTGCTTGCCGATCTCGCTGGAGCTGCGCGACAGGAAATTACTCGCGTCTGCCGTTCCTCGTTCGCGCGACCGCACGGGCTCCTCCGGTTTCCTCGCCGACGAAGACCGCTTCGTCGCTCCTCCGCTCCCCGGTAACACTCGAGATAACGCGTGAGCCTTCATCGTCATCGAGGTGCTCCCGACGCTCGACGATCGATTCTTCGCCGTCCAAGGAGGCGACCTCCTCCTCGTGCGATCCTCCCTCGAGCTGTTCCTGGACGACGTCGCTCCGACGACTCGCATCGAAGACTGCTTCTCCCTCGGCGCTTCCGGCCTTGAGTTCCGGTCGCTCACGTCGTCCTCGATCGAGGCGCTGCTGCGCGGCCGCCGAGGGTTCCCATTATCGTCCACGGGCGACCTGGGGCGGCCTCCGTCGGCGAGGCTCACCGGGAAGTGGGCACCTTCCTCGCGTCCGGAAGACTCGGGATCATCGTTCTCGAGAGGGAGGGTCTCCGTCTGCCTCTCGGCGGTCTTCGGTCTCCTCACGCCCTTCACCAGGAAGTGCTGCAGCGGGTAGGGCCCGTCGTCCCGGCGAGCCGTCGCCTCGGAGACGCCGCAGTACTCCTCCACGAAATCGAAGAGCCCGTGCTCGTCGTTCAGCTGCGTCGCGCCGATCACCGAGGAGTCGGCCGTGGTGAGGTGCAGCGAGTTCAGCACCACGTCGCCCGGCGGCTGGTACTCGTTGTACTGCTTCAGTAAGCTCGCCTCGATCAGCCGGTGGCGGTACGCCCTGTAATCGAGGCCCTCGAGCAGCGGACGGTGCTCCGTCGTCGGCGGGTGTTCCCGTGTCCTCCGCCCGCTCGGAGCCTTTCCGACAACGGTGTTACAACGCGCGACTCCATCCCGCCGCACGGCCGACCGGGAGTCGATCCTCGAGCGAGCGGTCCCGAGGCGCAGCTCGGAACTCGAAGCCGCCCTCCGAACGGGATAACGTATCACCGGCGACTCGACGGCCGCGCGAGAACGGCAGGACGAGACGGATCGCTCGGTGAGGGTTTTCAGCGGCTCGTCCTGCAAACGGCGTACGCCCACGCGAAGAAATTACTTAGTAATTTCGGCCGAATCTCGTCAGCTCGGGAGCAACTACAACCTACAGATTTTTTCGCAAAGTGTCCGCCGGACTCTCCAGTGGCGGGTGAGAAGCCGGGGATGACGGCGACTGGCGGGAGAAAATCCAGCGCGACTCGGAGCCCGAACAGGGCAGATTCCGCGGGATTCCGTCGTCGTGGCTGGATTTCCTCACTTCCGACTTCTACATATATAAAGGCGCGACTCTCTTTCTCTCTCGAGAGAGAGAGAAAGAGAGAGAGAGGGAGAGAGAGTCGCGGCTTTCAATGGGGTCGCGGATTCCGCAACGCCGCCATTGTGTTATAAACGCGAGCGCGTTATATCACGGCCGTGCGAAAGAAATTGGAAAATTTACAGTCGAGCAGCGCTTCCGCTCAAACACCGCGGAAGCGTGTACAGCTGGAGTTATCGATAGCCGCCGTCCCCTTCCCTTCCCCCCACCCCATTTTAGAAGCGCGTTCCTCTCCCCGAAACATTTTCCAGATAACGCATCGACAACGCGTAGCGTCGCGCGCCCGCCCGCCAACGCGATATAAAAGCGAGCGACGCCCTCTCTCTCTCTCTCTCTCTCTCTCGTTGTTTGCTCCGGAGGAAATGCTGCGAGAAACACGAATGAATATAATATCGTTCGTCGCGCAATTGGTTCACTCGCCGCACCCGGTGAAGTGATCGATCCGCTCGGAATTCCCTCGTTCGCGACACGAACGGGACGCGTGCCGAGCGACTCGTGCATTTCCTCTCCTTCTCTCTCTCTCTCTCTCTCTCTCTCTCTTTCTCCCTTCTCGCTCACCCTTTCTTTCCGTGCCTCCTCGAGAGATCGAGCGGAGGAAGCGATTTATCCCGAGAATACGTACGAGCAGGAGGTAAACGCGCGCGATCAACGGCGCCGCTAACAGGACCGTCAAGGCTAAAGCGAAGGCGCTCTCGAGGACGAAGGGTGGCTTCGATTGCAAGGTTAAGACGAGGTTCCCCGGCGCCAACAGGTCGAACATTTCCGATCGCTCGCTTCCCGTTCCGCTGGTCCCGTGGTGTTGCGAATCGGCGACCTCGCTCGCAAGCGTCTCATGTTAGACCGGCGATCGTCCGCGAATTCGGGCGATCGATGGCGCTGTCGGGTCGCGGGCTGCCATCAGGAGCGCCTTCCATAATGGAACAATCGCTGATATTCTCGGTTCGTTTCGCCTTTTTTTCCTCCCCCCCTCCCCCGATTTCCTTCTCCCGCGGCTCCATTCGGATCGCCGGCCAAATTGTCGCTCGTGGTTCACGTTGGTTTACGTTCCGGCTTCGCTTTTCGCCGTTGACGTCGCTCTTTTTTTTTTTTCATCGCACACGCGCGCGCGTTACGTATGCACGTGTATGCACGCGCGCATATGCACGTGTGCACGTGCCTGCATCGGATATCCGTAACGTGGCTCTCGATGCGTCGTGTATGTACCTTACGATAGCGCGGGCCAATTGGGCCGCGTGATAAACTAAAAACTGGGGTAATGAACTTACGGGGTGATTTCGCGAAATATTATTATTAACATTCTGAGCGATCGAGGGGTCGAGATCGGGACTAGTCGTCGTTGTTTTTCGCCGTCGAAATTATCGACGATTATCGATAATCAGCGATAACTCAGGCCTGATCTGATCAGCTCGCGAGCGCGACTGAATTATACAACCGTATAATTTCGCTCGCCGAGGGGAAAAAAGGGAGGGGAGAAAACGCGCACTCGTTGGTGTCAATAACGATTTCGCGAATATACAACCGTCGCACCTTCCGCGTGTATCTGCCGGTGCGCGGCGCGATGGAATTTTTATATCCGACCTTTTGTCACGCGGCAGTTGTAGATTTTCGCGTCGTTTGTATCGTTTGCACGGTGCCCGCGTCGAGCGGTCGGTCGGCCGGTGGAAAACAACCACTTACGATCGTCCACGTCGTAGGTCGCCCTGCCGATTTCCGGGCGAGTCTCTTGGATCGGCGGCGCCTCGCCGCGGTAAGGGGTCCTAGTTGAGTCCTGATAACCGTTCTGCCGGTTTCGCTCCGGGTATCGCTGATAAGCGCCGGAGAAGATTCGAGTGTATCTCAGGTAACAGCCGCTCGGTATTTGCCACTGGAAATCGAGTTAGGACACTTTCCGGGCTCTCTTCTTCGGCCGCCTCGTAATCGTGAAAACTCTCGTCTACTTACCCCGTAAGAAGAGGCAGGCACCGGCTGGGGCGGTCTGCCGGGACACATCAGCATCTTTCTTCTGTAGAATCTCGGCTAAACGAGCAGATAAGTACATCGAGCCCCGTTCTCTCTCTCTTTCTCTCTCTCACACACACACACACACACGAATTTCCCTCGCGCTTTAATCTACGGTTATATCCCCGGGAAAAGGGATCCTTTGTGCTCTCTACGAGACTCGCTCGCGATAAAACGGTTTCCCCTTAAACGTTCTCGCGCGACGTAAAAAAATATTGATATCTCGATATTTTCGGCAAGAAAGAGCCTCCCCCCCTCCCGGCTCTCCGGCCCGGCGAATTGATATAGCGGAATATCTCGTCTCGCGATGTATACAGGCGGTTGAAATAAAGCGGTTTTATGCGGCCGAATAAAAGAGAATTTATGGTTACAGTTGGCGAAGATTTTGTCAAGAGCAAGAAGCGGAAGGAGAGAAGGGAGGGAGGGGAAAGGAAGGGAGAAGAGGGTGGGAGAATCGCGAAGAGACTTTGCTTGTGACTTTGTGTGCTCTCACCTCGGAATCGTGGCCATCCTCGGATTCTGCAAGCACACGAAACACACACAAAATCATATTACGAAATAATATTTGTAAAGTATATATATGTAATATTATTTTAAAAAACATTCAAAAGATACACATAAAGTCAACATTTCCAAATGTTAATTTAATGTTCCTTGCTTACCGGGTGTTTAAAAAAAATAAGCCGTTCGAGACGCATGTTTGCATGAACCTTTTCGCTTGAAATAAACCAAGGGACCGTCCCTTTGAGTATCGGTATTTAAGGAACACCTCGCATAATATTATTAAAAACCGTTCGGAAAGATAGGCATGAAGTAACATTTCAAAACGTCAGTTTAATGTTCCTCGCTTACCGGGAGGGAACTCGACGGGAACGCGGCGAATTTTCTTTACCAATAAAGATTCGCAGCATCCCGCGGTTGCGGCATTCCGCCGAGCGAACGAAATCTCCTTCGGTTTCGCGGCGCACAATGGCGTAAATTTACCTCTCACGTGTATCGAGAAATGGCATTCGGCTCGATTTCCGGCTGCGTCCGAGGCGACGTAGCGCACACTGTGAACGCCGGGATACATCTCATGTCCGGGGCCCTGTGCGGGATACACGATTATAATTGACTTTTCGCGCGATTGCATGCAAATGCCTCCCCGTCCGTGGGAAATATCCGCCGAGCCGCGACTATCGGCGAGCGTCCGACTGATTTCGCACCGTCGTTCTCCCCTCCCTCACCCCTCCCCGCCAAACGAGATCCCATAATGTCGGATCCCGAAATTGGACCGCGTGCGCGACGATCGATCCTTCCCTTTTCCTCTTCTTTCTTTCTTTCTTTCTATTTTTTCCCCGAACAGTCGGCCAGGCGATTCCCACTTAGTCGTTTCAATTTGTCTAATCAGATTAAACGTCAGGCTGCAATAATGCCCCGGTACCATTTATAACCGGCGCTATCGAGAGCGCGGAGCCACCAATTATCCCGCGCGCCGGTTATCGCGCGGACAGGGTAATCTCTGTTATTACGTTAATAAAGTACACACGTACACAACCCTTTTCAGCGGCGAAACGCCGCCGGGGAAAAAAGTGAAAAAGAAGCCGCCGGTTCGGGCGTTGGCCGACAATGATTAATCGTCCGGTTAGGTTTTTCCCACGGATATATATACATATATATATATATATATATATATATGTGTATGCGTGTATATATTTCCCAGCGCGAAGAAAAGTGCAGGTATCTCTCGCGCGCGCGCGCGCGCTGCATTGCGACGCCGCTGCCTCGCGGCGGCCTTATTTTCGCGAAACGGCAGGTAATTAATGGACGGAGGGGGATGCCTCTCGCTTAACACGCCGCTCGTTTGACACGTTCGATTGTCGACGATGGCGTAAACGTTTAATTAACTACCGCGACGTAACTCCCGCGAGCAAGGTGAGAAATCTTCCCTCACCTTGGCGCAGTACGACGCCAATAACCGTAAATTTGCGAACGACCGAACGAAAAATGACGGATGCTCATGACTACCCCCTCCCTCCTCCCCGTCTCGTCTCGCTAAAGGATCGAACGTAGCGCGAAATTGGGAAAGTTCGCTTTCCACAGGTAACTCGTTACCCCCTGTTATTCATTTGTAAAAGCTACTCGTTACTCGAGAAGTAACACGTGTCGTTACAATTTCCCTTACTTTCGTTACTTTTTACGCCGAGCCCTTAAGACTTTCTTCTTTTTATTATGATTCCCTCGTCACGTATTCATGTGACATGCATTATACGTGCATACAAAGTAACGATTACTTTCGTCGATGCCGGCGGAAAAATGGGATAGCTTTGTTAAAAAAGTTCAAAAGAGGCCGGCAGCGTTATCAAGTCGTTACGGAAGAGAAGTGACTCGCGGCGATAACGGAGTCACGAGTGGCTACTTGTTACTTCCCGATCCTGATGTACGGGGTGTTGCATGACGTATCGTGCAAACTTAAAGGCAGCACGATTTAGGTATAAATGTTTATGCATTTCCTATTTCAATTTTAACATGAAAAACATGTTCCCTAAGTTTGTACGGTGTACAACACGTGACACCCTGCACGTGCGATTATCAGTCTACGATTGAAGAGGTTAATTGTTCCGTTAATTGTTATCACGAATTCCTGACGCTCACCCTCGTTTTGTAAACATGCTCCACGCCGACGTTGTCGGTGAACGTTGGCTCCTGCCAGAAAATCAAACGACTCCTCTCGCCCGGGCTGAGTCTCACTTCGAACGACGTGGGGCACATGGTGACTTTGGGATTCTCGGTGTCTGAAAATGTCGCGAAGTCGCCTGGTTATCGAGCGGCGGCTCGGGGAGGGAGTCTTCCGAGTTCAGCTCGAGCCTCGGAACGCGACAATGAGGACGAAAATTAAGATAAACTTAGGAACGGGAGCTCGACCGATCGAGGGCGAAAAGGAATGAAATTTAGGCGGGGCGATTGTCGAACTATTAAGCGGAGCCCCGCCGGAATGCCGTCGCGAGTTTGTTTGATCGGCGCGAGTTTATTTCGCGTAATCGCATATCGACCACGGCACGATGCACCCGGCGTGCTGCTCCTTCTTCCAGTCGCTGCGTTGCGGAAGGAGAACTTGCTTAAAGGGAGTTTCACGAACTTTCCGAATGAGTAATTAAGCGGGACGGGTCAGGAGGGGAGAAGGGGCGACGCGAAGTGCACTTTGCCGTGGAAAGTTTACCGCATCGGGCCGATTCGAGTGGCGCCGATTCGCGACTGGATCGATTGTCCTCCGTGCGAAAAGTTCCCCGTGGAAAAATGGACGATTAAAAAAAGGAAACATTAAGAATACAGAGAGAGAGAGAGAGAGAGAAAGGGATGCAAGGGTGAAAGTTCGCTTTTGCGGGACATCATAAATTCATAAGCCACGTAATCGAGTATCGGGCTTTGTCAACGTGGAAATCGAAGCGACGGTCGTTCGTGACTTCGAGACTTCGCGTCTTCATCGACGCGAACTTCCTCCCGGCCGAAACTTAAGCTCCTCTTCAGATATTTATCTTAGGGAGATGTACTTTGGAGAATTTTCAAAAACACGGCGATACCAGCTCGTTACCAGCGGGTATCGCACTTGCTCCTTCATAACGCGGCCGAGGCTATCATCCAGCCCGATAACGTTCAGCTCGAGAAAAAGCAGTCCGCTCGCTTTTCTCTCTCTCTCTCTCTCTCTCCCTCTCTCGCTGAAACGGATTTTGCTCCTCATTTCTTCTCCGCGCGACTTACCTCGAACTCTTATCACGATTCTACAGGTACTGGTGTAATTAGAGACCGGCGACCAAGCCGTGAAGGTAACGACCGTCGTGCCCGCCGCGAGATCCGCCTGCAATTGCTTCGCCCAAGGGGGCGAGGCGTGTACGTATCTGAAAAACAGGAGGGAAGGAAACAGAACGGGGGAAAAAATTACAGGAGGGCTTAACGACACTGACGTAACGCGCGAGGCGAGCGAGCGAGCAAGACCGTTCGAAGTTTAAAGTGCGCCTCGCCCGCGTTAGCGGAGCGGAGGCTCGCATCGCGGACCATTGTGTTTCCAAGTGATCCCGACTGTTTCGCAGACCTTGGAAAGGTCCGTGAAGTAAATGTAACGCGTAAAACGCGTGCGGAGAGGGACGACGAATTTTACAGGCGCCCCGTGATATATGAGCGTAAAATTTTACGGACTGCCGGACAGTCAAACTCGAGAGCCGATCGTTCGCAACGTCGTTTCACAACGTATGACGTACTCGCGTCTATACGAATATGCATGTGTGTGTGTGTGTGTGTGTGTGTGTGTGTCTGCGGACGAGCGCTCGCGCTTCTTACCTCCACCAGTTCATGTTGGACTTGGGTTGCGGGAACGTTACACGTATCGTATTTTGCCTGGCCGGTAGCTCGACGTCCATATCCTGGGGGCAGCTCACGAACGGTCGTGGCATGTCTGCGGCGATAAAGTCGATTGTTAAATTCCCGATACAGCCCAATTCCCGTAACCCGATAAGAAATTGCATTGGCGCGCAATTCCACCCCCCGACTCCCCCCGTCATCGCGATGTCGTACTTACACTCTTAAGAAACGTTATTTCACGCCGGGGGAAAATATTACATCGCGGGCAAAAACGCCTCGTCCTCCCCCGAACGTGTTCACCCTTCGGCAGTGGACGCGTGTCGTGTGTGTGTGTGTGTGTGTGTGTGTGTGTGTAACGTACACGGCTAGTACGATTCCGCGAGGAGCCCGACGCGCTGAATTTAAAATAGTTGGTCCGTAAATCAATTTGCTCGGGGATCTTTTCGAATTTCGACAACATTATTAATTGGAGCGCGACCTACGTACACGTGAAATTGGAAAAACCTAACCCACACCGAAGCTGTGATAATCGAAGTCAAAGTTAACATTGTGCACAATGCTTCTGATATCGAATTTTTAATTCTAACGATCAAATTATTCTTGTGGTTTTAGTGGAAAATGTGAAGACGATAAAAGAGATTTGTGGAGATATTGCGAAAACATTGCAAAATCCCCGACCATCTGGTTTCCCCGAAATTGATACACAATTTCTGATAACGGTTGAAATATATGACAGTATAACCCGCAAAGATGTGACAATATTGTACGCGCTATATTTTCCTCTGTTGACTTCTTGACCTTTCTGACCACCTATTTATAGACAGAGTGGTTAAATAATGATCTGCAGTCGATATGTAAATATGTGGCAAGTACGAAGGAATGCAGAAAAATTCGACGCCACGATCATTTCACTACACACGATGTCACAAATATTTAATTGCATAAATATGCAAACTGAATTACCGTTATTTTCGGCGCGCAATTATACACCATTTTTACAATTATAATCAGAAATATGGTAGCAGAAAGCAATATGTACATACGACCCGGAGGTAGAACAGAGTTAGTTTCATGTACGTTCTTGAAACGTATGTAATACATTTGTGAAACGTTACGTACGTTTAAAGAACGCGTACGAAGCTGACGTGCGGGCACTGCCTGGGAATTATTACTTATTATTACTGACAACATACCCAGCAAACACCAAGTAACATTATATCAATATTATAATCATCCACTCAACAATGTAATTGTTACGCACGGCATGTATTATATTGCACATTGTATTGTTGAGTTGGACGTTATAACGTTATAACGTATAGCGTTACTATTATTTGGGCGTTTGTTGAGTAACAATACTTGCTGGGGAAAATGCTTCCCCCGACTATGATTCTTCCATCGTAATGACGATTATAGTTACAAAGCGCGACTAACAATTACTGTTTCACATTTGAATTCTCAAACAATGCAAATTTGACCGTGATATTCTCTCTTGATATCAAAGCTACGTATTATAAATTACGTTTATAAACACTTGGCACAGATTTGTCCAACTCCTTCGTGCCGTACCGATCATTTTACTCTTCCGGCAATATTGTCACGGACCAACGCAACTGCCCTTAACTACCGCGAATTCTCGGCCGATCCGATCGGCCGTTTCACTAATTATTAATTGAAATACCTCCGACGAATACTCGCCGGCGAATTGATCGTTGAAAGCTGCGGCATCGTCCGCTGAAAGCGCGGCATCCCCCTCTTCGCGAGATCCCCTTGAACGCGCTTTTAACGCGTGAGGTAACCGGGAATGCGCACCGCCGCATTTCGACAGGCGGTGGAGAACTACCCGCTTCGCTCTCTAAGAGCCTCCGTTAAAAAAAGGCACTACGCGCGGGAACTGATTTAAATACTTCGTTTGAGGAGTTTATTCCCGTCGGGCAGTAACGCGCGCGACACACACAGCCCGTAAAAACGTTGAAACGCGCTCGCCGCGCGCGGAATCAAAATCTCCTTTTCATTAAACGAAACAATTAGCGCTACCGGTGAAGAACCGCGAAAATGTGCGCCGGATGAAAAAGCGGGCGAAAGGGTAGAACGAACGAACGAACGAGCAAGGGAGGAAAAGAAAGAACGGCGTCGGCAAAAAGCCGTCGGCCGTCGAGTAAGCTCGTTAAGGGGCGGCGTTAACGTATGATCTCGTTAGCAGGCAGCCTCTACACAGGAACTTTGTAATATTAAAAGCTGCTCCCGGGCCGGGCATGACTAATTTAACGTGCCTGAGAATTTTCGCACACACACACACATACACACACACATACGGATAATTTGCCCGGACCGGTGATATTTCAAGTTTCGATCGGAACGGGCTCTTCGAACGTTCCGCTCATGTAAATTAGGAAAGAAACGACGCAGCGGGAATTGAAAGAAAATTCCACGGTGAACGCGGAATACTCTTTCTCTCTCTCTGTTCTCTCTCTCTCTCTCTCTCTCTCTCTCTCTTTTTCTTTTTCTCTTACTAATGTTCTGACTAATGTATTCCTGAGAGGAGCATCGTCGTCATTGGAAAAACGTTGCGGGCGCGTCGGCGGAACCTTTACCTCGCGGGAAAAATCTTGCAATTTGACACAGTATTGTACAATGTTGGACGGACGATAAAATTTTAATTGCCGCAATTACTTAAACTTTTAATTATTTCAGCTTCAACTGTAACTTTCTTCCCGCCCGAGATAACGCCCCGGGATCGCAAGTCGCCGGGGTAGATAAGGGCGGCCGTTCTCCCCCTTCCCGTCCCCTCCCTCCCTCCCGTGTTCCCCGTGTATCGGTGGCATTGCCCGCGAGATACGGCTCGGTTTGTTAAAAAATTTCATTGGATAAATGTTTTGATTAATTTCTCGCTCAAGTTTCCACGTAGACGGCGCGCCCGCGGCGCTGTTTCCCGCACGCGCGCGCGCGCGCAAAACTATTCAACTGTGGCACGAGAGAGTTACTTGGTGGTTGGTAAAGGGATTCTGTCACAACTTCACGCAGACAGATAGGCTCTTTTCCGTTCCATCGGCCGCCGGTAACGCAATGTCTCGTATGCGCTCCTTCCAGTCGGAATCCTCCACGGCATCGGACATGACACTTGGCACCCTGCGGGTAGACGGATGCGCCGGAAGGGTGACCCGGACATCTGATCTGCTCGATTAGCGCGAACAGAAAACGCACGCGGTGAATAGGTACGTTTAGGTGGAAGGAAGGCCTCCTTTCTACCTTCTCTCTCTCTCTCTCTTTCGTTTTGTAATCTCTCCGTTTCCGTCCGGTCGAATTGTACTTTCCGAAACGCATCGACGCGTTGAATATATACAGGGTGCCCGGTAATTCATGGAGCACGGATTGCGCGCTTGTGGTGGAAGGGGTGAAATTGAGCGGAAAAGTTCCCTGACGTTTTGCGAAAACGATCGCGCGAAATTTCGAGTTATTAGTAATTGCGAACGGCCGTGTGCAGGGGTTTCTTCAGTCAACAATTGAAAAATTTGCGTGTTGTTTGCAAAATGGCAGGGGACTTTTTTTCCTTCAGAGCGGCCTAATTTACAGGTGTATACGGAGAGAGACACACGATTTTTTCTACGCGAAGGAACAAATTCGTAACTTTTGAACGCGTTAAACGAAAACAAAATCCCTCTCTAGACTGACATTCTTGAAGGACGGTCTTTCACAAAGCAAAATGGTTTAGCGATGCCCGCTGAAAAAAAATATGTAATTACCTGGGCAGATGAAAATTGCCACTTTTCGGACACCGAAATGGAATCACACGGAGGATTAATCACTCGAAATTCTGCGTGATTGCTTGCAAAACGGTAGAGGGGATTTTTCCGCTCAGTTTAACCAGTTCTACCCTGCACGCAGTGCAGCGGTGCTCCGTGAATTACCGGACACCGTGTACTTACTGTTCCTTTAATTATGCGTCCGTCCGATACGAAAAAAAAAGAAAAACAATAATAAAACACATAGTGTACTGGGAGTTACCTTATGAAACGTATCGAAATACAGATATCATTTCAACGCGAACCCGTTCCCGCTGTGCGCGCACAGAGAATGAATAACCCCCGGCGGGGTTTCGAATTACTCCGAGCGACACGATGAACGTGGTGGAACAATTCCTTGTTTTTTTTTTCCGAGAAACAATTTCGCACGACAAACGCACGTCGTTTTCGCGGTCGTTCGCGACCCTGGGACGTGGTCACGATTAATGCGTGTCGTTACGTGGCTGCATCTACGACACGGGTGTATCTAAAAGCTCGCACCTCTCCGTGCAGCGGCGGCTCCATGGCGCGACACCTCGACGTCGGTGAGACGCAAGTTCTCTCGTCGAGTGCCAGCGTTAAATCCTCGCCGCAGACGCAGTAGTAGCTTCCGGCGGTGTTGATGCACTCGCCGGCGCAGCCCCCGTTCCGGCCGAGACATTCGTTCACGTCGTGACACTGGCCCCTGCGAGCCCCGGGTCAACGGTATCAGAGAAACGGTATCAGCAGAGAGTAAGGACACATCACGTTCGTCGTTGTTATTTTTTCTCACGCTCGTTTTGCATTAGTTCCGGGTCCCGGGTTTTCGGTGGCTCTCTTACCTGGACGTCAGGAGGTATCCGGCGCGGCAGGCGCAGCTAAAGGACCCCACGGTATTGATGCACACCTGATCGCAACCGCCGCGACGCCACTCGCACTCATCGATGTCTGGTTCCACGTCCAAGTTCCGAAGATTAATATTGCAGAGAAAGAGGAATAAATTGGTAGGAGGTATGCGCGTTTCTGTCGCGAAACGGTGGACACTCTAACCGGCCGGATCTGTCCAACTTATGAGTTAGGAACTCTTGGTGGAGCTCGAGGAATAATTTAGAACGATGCTAGTGTATGTGTACGTGTATACATATATTCGATAATGGGCTGCGTTTGCCGCGCGCATACTTGACTTGCCTATGCATTCGTCGCCGCGCGACCGGAATCCTGGAGGACACGTGCAATAATACGAGCCGGGGGTATTGACGCATCTCTCACTGCAAGGTGCACTCTCGGCGCATTCGTCGATGTCTGCGCAGAGAGAGAGAACAAACTCGGTTTCAGAGTTAAGCGATTAAGTAACGTCGATTTTTCGCAGAGGGGGGAGGGGCCGTTTTCTCTCGCTACAAACCCTACACACAGGTATCACACCGTGGAATCGATATCCCCGTTTCGCACTCGCAACGTACCCGGCACGTTTCTTGCCCCCTACAAGAATGCGCCGGCTGCGCATTCGTCGACGTCTGAAAAGGGGTACACACACGTTGCTACTCTCTCTCTCTCTCTCTCTCGCTCTCTCGCGCGCGAAAACTTCCGCGCTAAGCGATTCCAACTTCGCGAGCAAGCGTAGGAAACTGGGACATGAGGAGGTGGAATCAGAGCGCGGGTTTGGAGTGGCATTTAGCGTGCTGTAGCGGCGAGAGCTGGGGAGAGGAAGTCGCGCGTTGTCCTCGCGGGTTCTCCCCGTGAACGGGCGACATCGCTCTCCGAAGGTTGAGTCTCGGTTATTAAAGTCATGCGGGAAACAACGATGATGACACGTGAGCGTGAATTGCAAAACTCGAATCGAAACGTTTCTCTACCCCCCCCCCCCCCCCC